TGTGTGTGTCTGCATGAGTTATGCTGAATCCTGCAGCAGCTCTGTGAGACAGACAGTCACACACACGTCTGTGGCTGGCGTGCACCTTCCTTACATTAATCCTCACTGAAATATTGCATTAGAGAGAGAAAATATCTGAAATCGTTTTTTAATTGAATATATAGATTAGAAACTAGATTAATCTGCACATTTTACTGTATTGAGGCCCATGTGTTTATTATAAAGATGACCTGACCTGCTTTTGGTCAGATCATGCTCTTTTGTGTCTCTCCATGGCATATTTTCTGATCTTCATAAACAATGTCTACATATATCTACATCGTGGTAGAATTTTCTTGAGGTATAGTGACTTTACATCAATTTGGGTAGATATAGGCTATAGTCCAATAGTCTGGAAGAACTGACCACACTATGTGTGTACTGTTAATGTCATCCCTTGCAACTTATATAAACATTTTCAACTAGAATCTTCTGAGTGGCTGTCATGAAAATTCCTCAACAAACGTTATACCTACACTCCAAAAAGAAAAGTTTCCTGTTCGCCTTCCTGTAGCTGAAATATGCTTTTAAAATAGGATATTCAGGGATAATTTCACCCTCAGGCTATTTTTGGGACCAATATATGAAACGTGTATGTGATCGCAAAGTGAACATACTGAAGTATCTAGTTACATATTAGCATAGGTTCGTAAATTTACTCTAAAAATCTCTGGTCAATGTCACCTTTTGGTTAATTAAAAAAAGAGATTTTTTGCTGTTGAAGTCCAGATGTTTCTCATGAAAATGCTGATTCGGACGCCCATCAACAACGTCTGCATCCAGCTGTTAGTTTCAACATCTGTCTGGTATCGACTCAGGGTAGCAGTTGGGGTTTGTCCCTGCAGGATTACTGTCCTGGGCATGCAGACACCAGCTGTAATTACTCCTCACGTGGCGAGCAGAGTGGGCAGCAATATAAGAGCCTGGTACCAGCATTGAGGTGCAGAAGAGGATCATGGGTAAAGTGAGGCCTGTCATGACACCACTGAGTAATCCCACTGCCCTGCATGACACCACATCGTTTTAATTCTGTAGTCTAATAACTGTTACAACTGCAGCTGTGATGCAAAAAGCTTCAGAATGAGACCTAAAACCACACTAGAGAGATGCTACATGTATAATAATACATGTAAAAAACGACGTAACTAAAAGCACAAACATTTTATCAGCCAAATACTAAAAATATCAAAAGGAAAAATATTCTTCCCCCAATATTTGCCTTTATATCAATGCTATGTGACCATATTTACAGAATCGTTCATGTTGTACTTTTGGGAGAGCAAAGCGCACCAAAGCCACATTTTTTGTATGTGTAAAAATATCTGGTTAATATACCCGAATCTGATTCTTCTGATTCTTATTCTACAAACAAAAGTGTTGAGGAGAACATTCAGGAAAGAAGAAAAGAGTATGCGGCAGCGTCATTACATGCACAGAATCAAATGCAGCGGTTGCATTGTACAAACTTTATCAACTATGTCTGCTCACTCCTGCTGAAATGTACCTGAATATTTTTTTCACATTGGGTCACCTCAACTTTTTTGCAGTAATTTGATGAGGGGATTGGCAATAAAAAGTCTGGATAAAGTGAAACATGTGTCCGGGTAAACAAATGCAGACTAACCTTGAAATTCTCCAGAAACTTGCATGTGTGAAATTGGCTTTAGTCTTTTGTTTTCTAAAGTGAAGCTAAAATGAAATTTCCTTCAACCTGCACTCTAGTTTTGATGATTTTCCAGGGAGTCTATTGTTTTTGGGAGTGGTTATCTCTCTCCTCTTCATTTCTCTATATCTGATTCAGTAAAAGACTGCAGCCTTAATCGCATAAGAGGCTTTGCTTTTCACTCTGCTGAGGTTGGAAGCTTCTTCGCACGGTGCAATAAACATGGGTTGTCACAGCAGCTTATTGGCTAAAAATGAAAACAACTGGACAATGGAGTTATCATAAGAAGCAACATTGTCTCAATAATTACACAAAAAAATCATTACCAATATTTAAGTCAGGGGACATTTTTACAATTGAACTATTTTCATGTTCATGCTTTATTGTAGCTCTAAGTTTTTATTATAATTCTGAATCCTTGAGTTTGGGGTTTTTATTATTAATTTAATATTTAGGTTGTGTAAAAATAACTTTAATGAAAGCATTAGCCCATAATCCAAGTTGTTAGTGATACTGATGCTAAAAATTGGCTAGCAAAAAAATCAAAAAACGTTGGTCCTAGTGTTCTTTCAGAAAATAAATGAAGAGTCATCCCATAGTGTCATTTAATGAAACCAAGGGCTGGAAAACACATTCGTAAGATTGCCTTTATAGCAACATGACAATCCCAAGGTAGCCAAGCAATAAATCCTCCAGCCATGAGTTTTGCATTTTGGCTGAAACAGTCTTTGTTTTTTATTTGCCTGAAGTGTTTGACACAGAAATGGAGCTGGAGAGGAGCGAGGGGTGATGCACGGCTTGAAGCTTCCCTGCATACTATGTATTGTGGTTATTTTGTGGAAAGAAAGACAAGTAGAATTGTTTAAAACCCCAAACATGGACATTCAATCTGCTTCAGACTTACATGAATGCAACATAAAAGAGAAACATGGTTCAATACAAACACATAAAACGGCGTTTATAAATATTTCAACTAAAAAGAAGAAAAAAGTTTAAAACTGACCTCTAGAGGAAATGTCGGTCTATTTCAGGGTGAACTGAGGGTGGCTTCAGACATCAGCTTTCCCCATGAACTGGTTCACCTGGGCCCAAAAATAAATAAAATAAAAAATAAAAGGAATGGAAATCTGAAGAATTTTTTTTCATTTTGGCTTCAAAATAACTAAATCCTGGATATTTGAGGTTAGTTAAATTTTAGTGAAGGGCAACACAATTTAATTGGATATCTTATATGTTATCACAATTATAATACCATGTTTTTTTTCAAATAAATATACAAAGGCCAACATTTTGAATTTATAGGACAATTTGGATCATTGCTAATCTATTCATCTAGTGCATTATTTGTGAGGATGCTTTTTTTATCCCTTGCTTTTTTCTTCTTTTTTCAAAACATAGCCTTGGTCTATATGCTGACTGTTGTTGGGAGTCCTGTAGCCTAACATTTACAACCATTATTTGTATTTTTCTATTAAATTCAGAAATTAATGATGTTAAAAAATAGGTATAGGCTAGTTCTTGATTGAGTTGGTCTATGTATTATATATTGTAGGTATATTCATTATATATTTTCTCCTTCCAAGTATCTTTTGTTCTGAAAATCAAACAGTGCAGACATCACAATTTCCGCTGACGTCATGTAGGTGTGTTTGGGTTTTTCCTGATTGCCCAGGTAGCCTACGACTGTCTTCATACATATAACACGAGGTTAAGATGTGAGTCACACGGCTGTCAGTAGGAAATAGTCTAAGACACAAATCAGGAACTTCGCTGTCGATACACTTCAATCTGTTGTTGTGTTAAAGTTTGTGGGTATGTGTTTGAGGGCTCGTTAAGGACTTGTTTTTTGGGGGGAAGGGGCTCCTCGGGGTTGAGAAGGAAGCAGGATTGTTGTGTTTGATACCTGGACAGTAGAGGCCTGAGATATGCTACCGGGCGGTGCGTTCAGGGCCCTCCTCCTCCTGGTCAGCGGAGTTTCAGCTGAGATTGGTGAGTATCCAGACTCAGTGAGAATACAGAGCTTCTTCTTTTATTGTGTTAAATTATGACTTCAAATAAAGGGTTTAGATGTGTTTTGTACGTGGGGTTCACACAGGTACTTCCAGATATTTAACACTCCATCAGTAGCGATATGTTAGATGAGCCTAAAATGTCTCCTTGTCATAACTGTAGGCTATTCTCACTCGTAAGAATTATTTTTGAAAGATATCCACGACATCATTCTTCAAGACACATTGCGTCACTACCATTCATGTGTATTGGGCGTTTACTTTAACACATCCACAACATCATACTGCCAGAAAGAACATTCAGGATATCTGCAATAGATTTCTTCCTATACGGAAACATCCCATTTCAGTCAGCCTATCTACAATACACATCTTACTCGTCGTGTTTTCAATTTCAGATATCCCTCATAAAACAAACTCGGTTATTCATAATGCAACTTTGAAAATTCTTAATCATAATTACGACTAGGAACAACTGGATTGTATATCTAACATCGATTTTCCCTGGAAGATATGCCACATTTTATTTATTCTGGATAGTAGAAATGAAGGTTGTGGATATCTGAAGAATAACAGATATCTCCTTTATTATCTTGTCTAGCTCCTAGATTTTAAACTTCTTTCACTTAATGTATTACTTTTGAATACTTAAGGCTGTTTATCGAATAACATGAAAGAAGGAGGCAAAATGTCATTAAAATACAAATCTGTGTTTGTAATTAGTTTGAAAGGGTCAAAGTTGATTTTTTTTTTAGTCTCATTTGATCAGAAAATAACAACAAATACAGTCTGATTATATGTAAACAAACACAGATGTTCAGAGTGTCAAAATGTGTTGTGCAATTAAAAAATCTCAAGATTTACTTCTGTAAAAAAAAAAATCCAATTATATATTTTTATAGTACATTTGTTCTTGATGAAATATAAATATTCAACTTCTGGAACAATGTACACTTTAAAATATTTAATATTATTGCTGTCCAACCTATATTAGGTCAACTAACTAGTCTGTTCAGTCATTCATGAAGTAAACCTAAAATCACCAACTGTGCTAGTCACATCTACGCTTTGCTGCTTTGTCTGTTTTATACGAAAGCTGTATATTCTCCTCTCTTAACCGTCTCTAAACTTTTAAACTCTTGGACCTTGTTATGAATATTTGTCTTCATCATTGTCATTTTATAGCATTTATGCACTACAGTCTGCATAAATACTTAGTCTGCCAACAGTTAGTACATGACAAGAAATATCACAATTAAAACATCCAGACACATTAAAATAAATCTTTTGCGGAAAAATATCAGTCGTTTTTGCAAATGAAGTATGTGCACAAACTATCTGCGTCTTCTTTCAGAAATTTGCCTTTTTCAAGTATTGTTATCAAATCTAGAGATTGTGCCTCTGTTGTTGAATCTTCTCTCCCCCACAGACAGCAGGATTGAGAGAGAAACTACTGCTCAACCCTTCAGGGCCAAAACACTTTGACCAATATCAGAAGAATAGGTATTTTAGTGGTAAAATCTGACATTCAGGCTATTTAAACAGTTGTACAGAGCTAAGAACACAAATAGAGCGAGGAAAGCCAAAGAAAGAGTAAAAAAAAAACAACAACAACCAAAGCAAGATTGGGGATTAAGCCATATGTGTTCAACAATATGGAGGGGGTTTACTTCTTTCCTGGGTAAATGCTTTTTACTGTGGAGTTTAAAATATGTTCCATAAAATAAAACATATAGGTTCAAAACTCAGGCATAAATCTGTTGCCTTCTTTTATTATCAGTTTAGTAATTAACCGGGCAAACTCTCTGTAACTTTCCTCTAAGGGACAGGGCGTCAATCATGACATATTTTTCCACTAAGAGAGTTTTCCTTATTACGTTACAATATTTTCTTGTTCATTTCATCATTTGGTTTTCTGGGTGATTCTTTATTGTAAGTTGTTTGAAATGTATTTCCAGTGTAGACGTGAGTAAAGTTAAAAGGGTCCTAAAAATAGCAACAACCATCGTGTCGTTCCCCTTTCCTTTTTACGTTCACACTGAGTGACACATCCTGAAAATGTCCACATCCTTTTTCATGCTCTGCAGTTTCTTGATACTCGGGATTTTTAATTTCATGTAATGACTGACGATTAATGCCTGCTCACATGGTTTATTTCAGGGAAAACCGGTAGCTCAACCACAACACATGCCTTAAGAGACGTCTTTGCAGATCTTGTTAAAGTAATGTTCATAAGTATTAAGGTTAAAGTAATGCTTTGTAACAAAAGATCTCACCTTGAGAAGAAACATGCTGTTGTTCCAGACAATTATACCAATATAGAAAGAATCAGTCTTGTTAAATCATGTTCTTATATAATTAATTGCACACTGTTTCTGAACCAGCTAAAAACTCTTCTCAGGAGCCTTCATTTTAGCAAAGGATTTTGTAGTTTTCATCTGTTTCCACAGCAGAAAAGATTCCCATGAAAGGGCACCAACGTGGGCCCTACAGTAAGGTACACAAGAGGGCAATTCATAGTTTTTGTTTTTCTCTACTTGAAGGCCAACTCATAAGTCCCTAAATCGTGTTTTCTCCCCCTGAACTATGAAGTGCCCTGCATTATGTTTTGTCCACTGGAAAAGTACAAAAGAGGATAAGATACCTAAAGGGCAGTAAGTGCAGCTGTCAGAGAACTGCATCCTTTTTTTTTCCAATTGAAATGCCTGATTGAGCACAGAGCATCAACATTTTTTTCATTGTGTTTTCTTTAATGGAAGGACGCTCATTTATTTTTCTTCATTGTAGTAAATTACATGCCGAGCTATTGGTCTTTAGTTTTTTAAACAATGTTTTCCACCCTTCCTATTTGTGATGATCCTAAGGTTTGAAACGAGTCATTTTTATACTTTTTGTCAACTAACAATAAAATTTTGTTTTCCCTGGAGTTTCTGTAAAACTATGACTACTGTAAAGATTTAAAAAACAAGTGATGTTATGGGTGTTACTGCACATACCTACTGAAACACCTTAGCTTCCTTATTGCTGTCAAACTTGTCAGCACAGTGGTTATGCAGGACAAAGTGGTTATGCAGGACAAAGTGTGAGGCATTAAAGATGCCTTATCATCGTTAGGTTTCAAAGTACATACCACTCCCTGTCTAATGCTGTTTGATGGTGAATATACAGAGCAAGGTCAACATTTGCCTGTGTTGTTGTATGACAGGGTTGCCTTGTGAAAAAAAATCTTGTGAACAAAACTAACATCACACGTGTCAACATTTAAAATGAGAAGAACAAATCTGTGTGCATAGTTTACTGTACCACAAGTGCATTAATGTTTCATTTGTCTTTTCTTGCTTGCAGTTCTGCCTCCAACTAACTTGACTGTGAGCTGCAATAATGTCAACGTCACTGCCAGCTGGCAAGCCAGCCGGCAGCAACCAAACACCAGGTTCAGAGTGCACTTCAGAGGGTAAGATTCAACTACTCTAAACCTTAAATAAGATCATATATATTTTTTATTCATTTCTAATTTCCCATTAACCTGAAGATAGGACTAGAATTAGATCGGATTACTACAATTGTCTGACTTTTGGTTCATTAGTCACTAGTGCTTTAAGTCAGACTGATGTGAAAATCTGCATAGTTGTAGACCTAACTCGCAAACAGGTTCAGCACATTTTAAGATTTCCCCACAATAAGAAGATTTATTTCATGTTTACAAAGAAGCAAAAAACAAACTAAAACATTGTTTTTTGAGTTGACCCACTATGGATGTGTCTTTTCTTACCAAGACTAGACCTTGAAAAAAAGAATCATATCAAGCCGTTTCAAAGGAGGTCTGACTGAGCCCTTACCTGTAGCTTTTTAACCTTTGCCCCCTGTTGACCAGTATTTGAATATAGTTTATGCTTCATGGGAAGGCTGTAGCTTTTTAATCCGACGCTCATTCACTGAGTTTCATCATTTACCGGTAAGTGACCCACAGCGACTAAGGTCCCAAGCACGTACACACAAATAGCAGGGACAAAAAATAAAAACTGTTCATTTGATAATCAAGCGTGGTTCAGCTCTGTATAAATCTCAGATTTATCAGGGAAGTGAAGGAATCTCACACTGAAGTCTGGAGTTTCTGTTTATAAGAAAGACCAAGTGACAGTTGTCAGGTCCTCCACATGTTCAGAGTGTATCAATGCAATTTATATTGTAATGGCTGGACAGAAATATTTTTTCATATTTAATAGAAAAAAGAAAAATATTGGGACAAAATTAGTATTTGCAAAATATTGGTATGGACAGGTCCCTATCATCCCTACCCAGTTCTATGCACTTGTCTCTGTTTCTTCTTTGTGAGCATCAAAGCTCAGTTATTCTCCACTGCAAAAATATGGTTGGTAGTTAAAACTACTAAAGTGTTTGTTTTGAGGATAACATTTGTAGATCAGTCTCTTATATCGCCTCTGTCGTCGATATGATAAGAGATCAAACTGAGAATTTCATGATTTAATGTTGCTATGTTTGTTATTTTGTGCTTTTATTTGTAATGCAAGCGTCTTAAAGCGTCTTACTCCCCTCGGCTTTGAAACGACCTGCCCGAGCAGATAAGGCTAGCAGAATCAGTGACTTCCTTTAAATCTCTTCTTTAAACTCACTTAGATAGACTTGCGTTTATGTGATGTCGTCTTCTTCTTCTTATTTCCTGTTACCTTCTTTTATCTTTTAGTCTATCTTATTCTTTAACATCCTGATTCATGTCGATTTATTGCTTGCATCTCTTTTTATTGAGCTCAGAACCTTTTACTGCTTCTATTGCTTTTGTATTTGACTTTAATCTTTTTATGCGTCGGCTGTTTTTATTGTTTACTTCATTCTAGCTTATACCCCCTCCTATGGGTTTGATGTCTTATTTCCTTTTATTATTTATTTTATTATTATTTCATTATGTATTTTTTTTACTTTTTTTCTATCTCTTCTTAATATTTCTCTTATCTTCATTTCTAGCTTCTAACTGTGTTTTATTGTTTTTATCTCTTCTTGATGCTCTTACTTCTTATTGTTTGTCATTTAATCCCTCGTTTATCTTACATCTTCAGTCCTCTTGGTCTCAACCTATGTTGCTGTGTTGCTTTATTATGAGTTATTGTTGCTTGAATTCTGATGTGTGGGTTCTGATGTTGGTCAGATTTTTGTTGGGGTTATTTCACTGTCGAGGTTTTGTTGTTATTGGTTGGGTGTCTCTTCTGTGGGTTGCGTTGTTGTCATGATTTTCTGTTGTGATTTCGGGTTCTTATGTGTTGTTATGTTTTCTTCTGCACTTTGTAAGACCTTGTCTTTAAAAAGCGCTAAACAAATAAAGTTATTATTATTATTATATTTTGAAAAGTATTGTTTGTGTGCTTTTTATGTGAAACTGACACATTTTTTTGTTTCATATTTCAGGGAAGAAAATCAAGAAACCACTGACCATCGCTTTGATCTGAGTCAGTTTGTATGGAGATCTGAAGAACGCTACATGGAAGTCCATTCTGTTTCTGTTACAGCCATACTGGGAGGAAACCAGTCTGAAACAGTAGAGTCTGAAACTTTCACCTTTAACGAATTTAAGACTTCTCATATAAAATGTAAGTCAATCTGAAAGTGAAAACAAATATTTTCAGCAACATGTGTGGTTCCAGTAAGAAGAGGATGATGGACATGTTCATGGAAATTATTCAGTTTCACCTTTTAGTGTAAAACTAAAATATAAAAATGTTATCTTTTCTCAGGTAAATTAGTCTTCCCTCCCGTGGATCTGAAAGTGAACGACTCAATTGGCACAGTGACTTTCAGAAACCCTCTCCACTTCTACAGAGAACTGCAGCAGGTGGTCAGGAAATTTGAATTCGACGTCACCACTCGAGACGGTGTAAGATTCAAGAAAGTTATCTCTTTCACAGGAATCACTTGTAAAAAAAAAACATGTATATATATATATATATTTTTTTTTTACCTCAATGGGAATACCGCTGGTTTAATAGAAGTTCGATAAGAAAGAAGCATTTCCAAAGGATGCACTGCATTTTGAGGACTGGTGCATTTAAAAGTATCACATTCATATCTTCTCATCGTAGTGAAGATGCCTTCCAAAAACAAATACACATTAAAAACGACTTAAGATTGTATATTTACCCATTATTTAAAAAAAATTACACGAAAATCTAACTGCTGTCTAATTTTACTGCTGTGTGCAACTTTTAATGCTTTAACCACCTCCAGGGACAGTGGGGGTCCCCAGTCTCTAGCACTCTTATTTTTTGGGGTTGTGGACCAAAAAATTTGGGAACCCCTGTATCCGTCCATCCATCCATTGTCTTCCGCTTATCCGAGGTCGGGTCGCAGTGGTAGCAGGCGCAGTAAGTCAACCCAGGCTTCCCTCTCCCTATCAACGTTTTCCAGCTCCTCCTGGGGGATTCTGAGGCGTTCCCAGGCTAGACGGGATATATAATCCCTCCGGCGCATTCTGGGTCTGCCCTGGGGTCTCCTCCCAGTTGGCCATGCCTGGTAAACCTCTAAAGGGAGGCGTCCAGGAGACATCTTTAATCTGTCTGTCGATCTCACGTTCCATCCTACCATCACTCATGAACAAGACCCCGAGATACTAGAACTCCTACATTCAGGGCAAAGACTCACTCCCCACCCGGAGAGAGCAATCCCCCTTTTTCCGGCAGAGAACCATGGCCTCGGACTTGGAGGTGCTAACCTTCATCCCAGCCGCCTCGCACTCGGCTGCAAACTGCCCCAATGTCTGCTTGAGGAGGCCAACAAAACAACATCATCTGCAAAAAGCAGAGATGACATTTTGAGGCCCTCCTCTTCCCGGCTACTCCTTGAGATCCTGTCCATGAAAATCACAAACAGGACCGGTGACAAGGGGCAATCCCTGTAATAGACCTTAAAGCAAGGGAGGACTGGGTACCTGTGATTGTTAATTAAATGACCCAGTGACATCTTGAAATGTCTTGTTCAGCTTTTGATTGAACTAACAAACACTGTAAAGTCAAATATAAAAATTTTCTTCAGGCTACATTATGTGAAAGCCTGTTTTTCACTTGTGAAAATAAGCATCCCAATTATAAACCTTTTAGATAAAGAACTTAAATTTCACAGAAAAAAGTTATAAAATGCGAGATGCTAAAAGACAGTAGTCCTCACTCCAAAACCTCCTTGCCTCTCTCGACTCTATTCTCTCCTCCAAATATGGTCTTTTTTTTTTCTCTATGGTAGCCAAAAAAACCACAAACTGGAGGCTTTTAACCTGTAGTCTTCAAATCAATTGTTATTATTGCAACTACAGTCTTCGATCTACTCATCTGGGCTATATACAGATTGTGACACCAAATATTTATCTTTAAAGACTCTGGATATAAAGAAATTACTGTCTTCTCTGTTGAAAACATTTTATAATTAATATGCCATTATGAATTATTTGGAAAAATGCTTTAATAGTTAACAAAGCTTTTATTTATATCTAATAAAATAAAGAATTGTAGATTCAAACAGCATAACATTTAACCACTGAAGTCTGTGTCCTCTGCAAGAACTGTGATGGTGATTATAATGAAGTTATTATTGGGATTTCATGTCAAGAACCCGTTTAACACCACATGTTGAATTATGAAAGGCGATGATAATCAAAAACTGTCTACCATGTTTCCCACCCAAAGTGATGCATCATTGTTGCTTCAATATCAAAAGAACATGAATGAGGATACTAATTCATTTTTTTCTGGTTGTTAGAAAATGGTTACAGGGACATGCCTAGGGGATCAGAAAAACTGCCAACATGAGATCACTTATCCTGAGGATGTGAACCAGTGCGTCACACTGAGAGGACGGTTGTATGACAGAAAAGGCATTCGCTATGTCGAATTCAACGAGACGTGTCCTATCTGTCCCGAAACGACATCTGGTAAGTCTGAACTGGAAGATTTCTTCAAAAACGTGTTAATGTGATTTGTTAACAGGCAACATAAAGAGCACTACACCAAAAACAGTCGTGACATTGCTCTTTGCAAAGCTACCAAACTCGAAAAAAATTGTCATTTTAGATTCCAAGGCATAGAAATTGCTCATCTTCTGCTGACCTGACTTAAAAGTTCAGTTATGTTTGAGTGGATCGTTTTGAATTGAAGGTAACAATTCAAAACATCAAAGTCATGCAACATTAGAAAAAGAAACCAAATCATATAGTTTTGTAGTTTTTCTGTTCGTAGTATGATGTGTGTCTTTTGATGTCTTATTTTGCTGTCTTTATTTGTCTTATTTTATTTTTATTTTTTTTTACTGTAATTTGGAGTCGTTGTCCTGACCTTGTCTGTTTGGTTTTTTTGTGCCTCATTTGTAGAATACAAGAAACCAACAGATCAAAGAAGAGGTAGATTCTTTGCATATTTTCCTGCTTTGCTGTTCTTCACCGTTACCATTTTGAAACTCTTCTTGTTAGTCATTGATCCTAGAACAGTTTGCGTTGCATAAATCATCTTAAAATCTGCCAAAGTTTCAGCAAGAGCAGGTCAAAATCATCTCTCCATAAAATGTTCAAACAATAAACCAAAACCCAATATTTTTTTTGATTGCAGATATCCATGTGATACTTCTTATTGTACTGCTGCTTGTGACTTTCACCGTAGTCAGCGTGATAATAGTGTTTATCTGTTTGACAAAGTCCTGGACATTTAAGAAGGATGAACCCAATCTACCCAACGTTCTGGTAAGGTGACAAAGAGGTAAAACTATAAAATACTTTTTTCTATGGTTGATTTTAAACTCTTTTTTTTCTTTTTCTTTTGAAGAAACCCCACACAGACATCAGGAAACATTGTTTTACTAGGAATGACTACATACAAAAGTACAATGCTGTCATACTAATCAAAAACAAACCCAGTGAGACTCCGTCAGTCAGCTATGAGGACGACGACGACAACCTGCAGGGTAGCAACGATGGATCAGATGTCCATTATCAGTACGGTTGTTACAGGGATGGAAGATGTTTAGAAAACAGAAACCAGGAGCTGGAGTGCAGCAGGTCAGATGATGACTCTGCAGACGACTCAGTGAAAACAGAGGAAAGGTCCCCCTATGACTCCCCACATATTCTGCTGCTGGACAAGGTTTCCAAAAAAGAATGAAACAACTGTCCTACGAGTGTTTTTGGGATTAAATGTTTCGTTGGATGATTTTAACTCAGGGAATCAAGGACTGCTGTGTTGTGATTTTGAACAAACAAAGGTTAATCCAGGACAGTTAGGGATTTAGTGCCTTGCCCAGAGACTCCTGAAAAGTATGGAGGGAGTTTGTATTTCATGTCAAGTTTCAAGGTTTTTTGCATTGAAAAGTGCAAAATGCATGTTGCTGCTCAGGAGAAACTCCTCTTCATCCAGACACACTTTTCAGGATTTTATGCAACTGCTACATATAACAACCTACAAATGGCTCATGAAAAAAAGGATGCACAAGGATCCCAAATCTACCTTTTTAACAACTTTTTCAAACTATTTTTAAGGGTATCGTTGGTTTGCCTTGAAGCTGATTGATGGAGAATCAGGAAAATTTTTATTAAAAAGACAGTGTGCCATTTAAAACTGCCTTTTGACTTAGAGAGAAACTGGTGATCATCCAGTCACCTTCATCTGTATGCTGTCTTGCTACAGATTCAGCTGCTTAACTCTAATTGCTTTTTATCAGATGCAGCAGCACACAGTCACAAAAGCAGCTCCTATATGCTTAAAAATATTTTATGCCTCAGAATTTATGAAATCAGATGTAACTTTTTTTTGTTTTTGTGCACTGAAAAACTGTTGTTCATCTATTACAGAAAGGGCATGTTCTTATCTTTACAAATATATTTCAAAGGTCTATTTAAATAAAATAATACAAGAAAAAAATATTAAGATAGCATTGTTTTTATTTGCCCAGGGTTTCGAGAAATGTCCACCTCCAATTTTACTGCAAATTCAGAAAGTCCAATTTGAAAAGCTATCAACATGAATTAATTGATTCAACCTTTATTTGTATTTTGTTTCCTGTCAAAGTGGTGATGTGAATACCAAGATCTGCAAGGTCGCAGGCATGTTGTAAATGATAAAAAGCTTGCTGGAGGGTTTGAATGCTGAATGTGCAGTGTTGGCAAAGCAGTACAGAACTGTATCGTTGGCAAACAGGTGGGTGTTACTATTTGTTATAGCAGGTGTAATATTGTATTGTAAATAAAACAGGACCCAGAATTGAGCCTTGCGGAACTCCCTTAGACAATTTTAAAAAACAGAACCAATATTTCCCAGCACAACACACAGATGTCTGTGACGGGTAGTCCTGGAACCATTTACAGGATACAGAGTCAAAACCTCACTTAGCTTCAGTAGGAGCGGAGTATGGTCAACAGTATCAAACGCTTTTGGTAAATGTACGAAGAGATCAGCACAATATTTCCCTTGTTAACAGCAGCAATTGTTATTTGTAACAGAGGCGACAGCAGCGACAGTACTGGTTCTGAACCCAGATTGATATGGACTTAAAACATGATAACTGGAGAGGAATTATTTGATCTTATTATCAACCAATGATTTGAGAACTTTAGCAAGATGCGACAGTTTGGAAATGGACAGGTAGTTCTGTGGAAAACCATGGGCTTGATCTATTTTTAATCCTACTTTTTTAAAGGGAGCATGTTTATCACTAATAGCAAGAAGTGAATTTGAGAAAAAATCGAGTGCATGTTCTGTATATGATATTTCAGCAGTTTAATTTATATTGCTGTCAAGGTCACTGTTTTTAAGACTTTTTAATTGTCTTTTGATAACAATCCTAGAGCTTGGTTTATTCAGTCTAGCACTTCTGACAAAGGCTATAGGGCAGTGATCGTTCATGCCAACACAGAAAACTCCAGAGGCAATACTTTTGTCCCTCTTATTACACACAATAAGATCAATTAACGTAGATTTAGAGGGATCCTTCAAATTAGGTCTAGTTGGCTCATAGTTAAAATGCGAGACTACCACATATCTCATTGATGTCTGAATCATTTGACAACCAGTTCAGGTTTAACAAGTCCAACAAGTCAGAGCTGTTAAGCTGAGAAAGTAAGTCAGCTAAATCAGAAACTGTACTGGGGAGATGGCTGAGGTTGGTCTGTACAGACCCACAACATTGGGTTAACTATTGCTAGAAAGGTAAAGGTTTTAGAGCAATGAATTCAATGGAGTCAGTTACAGTAACAACTTTTAAAAGAGGAAGAGACAAACATGTCTTCACAGCAAAGCTCTTCCAACTCTAGTCAATTCTGTACAAGTTGTATAACAAAACCTCAGAGTCAGGTATGCTCTGACTAAGCCAGGTTTAAGTCAGAACAAGGATGTCAGGGTTCCTGAAACAAACATTTCAACTGATCTAATTCAAGCTGATTACACAGACTTCTGATGTTTAAGTACATCAGGCCCAGTCCCTTTCCTGATTTAAAAGCAGATTTATTAAATACTTCTTGCCCTGAGTCACCAGCAGATATACTTGTGGGACAAGAGCTTGTTAGGGGAATGGGTTTTATTTATTACATTTCCAGAGAGAGAACTTGCACAGAAATTAGACTTACAATGTTTATAATGTTCATTAGTGATCTGTAGAAGAATTTCTGGAGGTGCAGCTGCCTCAGTGGACTGAATTTAAGGTCCCCAAATCAGGGGGAGGAGACCTAAGATCATACTTTATTAATTTGTCTACTTGATACTGTTGATGAGGCTGAGAAGGTGGCTTAATCTCAAATTTAAATACATTTCTAGGAATAATTCAGAAAACACCGTCTTTCACAAATTTTCTGAGCAACTATTTCCTCCACAGAAAGTATTTCCGAAGAAACTCTTGATAGCAAGGTACGTAGATATTCCAGATAATGAGGAAGCTTATTTATGCACCGATGATACAAGCGTTGAATCTTTTATTTGTATATTTTTGTTCATGTATCAAACATCTTAAACCAATGGGCAAAATAAGGAAATGAAAACATTCCAGCATTTTAGGACCTTTAGTCAAGACTCTTCCTGGTTGTTATGATGTGGATTATTTCTGGGCTTTCCCCTCCTGACAGCAGACCTGTAAATGTTATAAATACCTTTCAACCTTACTGATAGTGATAAAACTCACCAGTCTCAACACAGGGACTGTTAACTATCAGGTGACCTGCAACCTGTAAAACAGGTTTATTAAGGGGTGTGTTTTTCTTGTGTGTATGAAATGATTAGGTGTGTTACCATTTTGTGAACATATTCTACAGGTGCTTTTACCCCATGTTGCTATTGTTGTATATTTTTACATGCAAGAATACATTTGACAATAACTGCTGCTCAATTTACCCACTGGCCCCTGATACTTCTTCATAATCAAGTTTTCCTTTGAGGTGCAAATTCATCAAACAAATTGGACATCATTAAACAATCTTTAACCTTTTTATATATTTCAGAATCGATATCCAGTCAACTGCCAAAGGTTTTGAAGTTACTCCAGTAGATTGCTTCAGCGTACAGCCTTAAAAACAGGCACAACTGACATCAACTCAATGGTTTGTGGAAATGCACCAGAATGAATTACTACTGAAAGGCAGGTCTTGTCTTAAAAATGTCTAACAGCATAAAGGAGTTGATCACTACAGAAATATGTCTTATTAAGGTACAACCTTCTTTTTAGGCCAAAAACATCCACCGACTGCATCACTCTCCAAAGCCACCACTCTGTTAAAAAGAGAATTTACCTTTCTGATCTGATTCTGTATTGATTCATTAGATTGTGTTAGGGTTCTGTTAGATCTGAGCTAACCCTAACTAAATAACAAATGTAGGCAGTGGTAGTGAAACAACTCCTATCTCCTGTCATTTCCTGTCCATCTTTAGCTGTCCTATCACAAATAATGACCAAAAAAAACCAAGATCAAACCTAAAGAATCCCATATTAAATACTAAATTTAAAGTAATTGCAAGGATATTTCAGTTATTGGCTCCCCTCTGTGGCCAAAGTCTGTATTGTGAAGTCTCCTTTATAGCACTGGTTTTTCTTGATTTGGTTATCTTTTTAAGTGTATAGCTTGATCAGTCTAAATTTATCCAGTATCAGAATTGTGCAACATTTTTGAGCTTCTTTCAACACTGAGCAGCAACAAAAGAAAACATTCTCTAAATTTGCCCAAGTTTTAGGTTTTATATCAGGATTTGAACAGATGATGATAAAACAAAGTTATCATAAAAAAAAAACAATTTGAATGCAAGCTTTTGGCTCAGAAGTTTGAAATACTGCGTGTTCAGAAAAGCGTTTTATTACCCAGCCTTCAGTACTCCTGGATTACTAACTGTTGTTAGTTTACTGTACTCAAACTTCTTGCATATAATTTGAGTTAGAAGAACTTTATCTCTTGATGACTGGAGGAAATCCCAAGAGTCTGAGCACCCCGTCTGTCCTCTTGTTTTGGGGATGATGTTATCCTCCTGTTAGCTCATCTGAAGTGAAGAGCAGCTTGATCCCCTGATGAAGCATTCAACGATAAACAGTCTGCAGGGGGAGAGGCTGCTAAAGCTTCAGGCCTTGAACGTTTGTTCTCAGGCTCAACATCTGCTTCTCCTGTCTGACTTTTTCTTCTTTGAACGCCATCTTGTTTACTTTCTTCTCCACTCTCCTCTCCTGTTCAAACAGAGGTGAAGTGAAATTAGAGACTTTGTCTTTAAAAGGTCTTTCCAGTTATAAATAATGTTTAAGACCTGTTTCTACAAAGAGACACAGGAGAACCATAAAGACATGTTTTTGTAAAAGGATAAGACATCAAACGTGGAAATAACAATAATACAATACAAAATGAATAAATAAAGAAGTCTGAATAATGTGGAATTACAGGAGGAAATACAGCATTTGTTTGGACTATTTTCAGCAGTGGATGAATCCAGATTTTTGTTCTCTAGTGGGTATATGGAGCAGCATAACAGTCGATGTAGGACACAATACAAAATACCGTATTTTCCGCACTATAAGGCGCACTTAAAAGCCTTTAATTTTCTCAAAAAACGACAGTGCGCCTTATAATCCGGAGCGCCTTATATATGGATCAATTGGTTAATTGGTTGATCCATACTGGTTGTACACGGCGCTCAGCGACACTGACTCGGATAATGACGAGAGGGAGCCGGGCATGTTGGATGCCGTACTCGCCCAACTGTTCAATTCGGACACTGAAGAAGAAGAATTCGAGGGATTCGTGGACGGGGAATGAACTGAAAAAGTGAGCTTTACGTGTTATACGTAACTGAACAATGTTGAGTTATGCACTAACGTTTGAATTAGCGGTATCAGACTGTGTTTCTTTTACGTGTTTACAACTGAACAAGGCTGGGAGATATTGTGAATATGCACATTAACGTTTGAACAACGTTGAGTTATTGTGAATATTCACAATATCTCCCAGCCTTGTTCAGTTGTAAACACGTTCTATTCTATGCGCCTTATAATCCGGTGCGCCCTATATATGAAAACAGTTCTAAAATAGGCCATTCATTGAAGGTGCGCTTTATAATCCGGTGCGCCTTATAGTGCGGAAAATACGGTACACTAAAGTTATTGTGTTCATGGGAATCAAGAAAGAGCCAACACACAGGATTGTATATATCACACATTGGACAAACACAATCCTAAATGTCTGTTTTTATAAAAAGATTATTCTGTGGATAAAAGTAGAAACTAAGGTGAATGATAAAGTCTATTTTTTACAGGAGATATTCCTGTTTGTGTGTTTTTCCTTCCTTCATTTCACAGGTTTAAAGTGTGTGACGAAGAAAAAGATGATTATTATCAAAGAGGATTAAGAAAGATTTAAATCAAAATGTAATGACAAACGTGAGATTATTTGTTGATGTTATCAGGTCACTGTCAATCACATTTGATCAGACCACACCTGCACAGTCCTGATGAAGCAGAGTAGTGATTATTTTTTTGGACAGGGAATGTGGGGGGAGAGAGAGGGACATGACATGCACCACACAGCATCGGGCTCACAAGTCCAACCTGTGAGCAGTGTGATGAGGACTGTAGCTTCTGTACATGAGCGCCTGCTCCATCAACTGATCTAATTCAGCGCTCCAGATAAATTAGGTTGTAACTCTTCTAAGACACTTGAGGATATCTTTATATATCTAATAAAATAAGCCAATACTTCAGATTTGAAACAAAGATTTGATTAAAAAAAACACTCTGAAATTCAGACCCCCAAATATAGAGTGAGAAGGTTTCTGTTTGTAGTATCTTTGTAGCAGTAATGACCAATCACGACAGCATGCTTTGGTGTATGCAGGAAAAACAGTCCATACAGAGAACAAAAGCAGGCGGAACACAATCCCCTGTGATGACATCACAGCTTCCATTGGCGTTAATCTGACAACAAATCATCTCTATAACCTGATAACTGCATTCAAGTTTAGCAATCTGTTCTACATCAAACATTCATGTGATCAATCTGCTTGACGCTGTGCTAAGGGAACCAATCAGCATTTAGATTCCCTGACTTCTTGAAATGCATCAGAAATAATGTCTGTCCTCCATTTAACAAACATTCTTCCTTTTTACAAATCAGCATCATGGTGTTGTTATTTCAGCAAACTGCAGCTAGATCACAAGAACACCTGCTTCTTTCTCGGGTTCATATCGCTACAGTAAGCCAGGGTGAAGAAGCCTCTGTTTAACTTACTATTTACAGTTAAACTGAGACTCATCAGAAACAGATAAACCGACGCTACTCCAGAGGATGTAATGAACCAGTTGTGATGTAAAAACATGTTCACTCCTCAGATTGCTAAATTGGACTTCAAGACGGTGCAGCGCGTGGAAAAGAAGTCTTGGATGGAAGTCGTTTCTTGCTAACCGCTGGCTAAAAGGGAATAACCCGGTAATGATGGCCAAAGCTCCTCTGGGATCATTGTGTTTTACTGATCTTTGGAGTTATCACCTGTCTTAGTTTGTCCCTTTCAATAATATAAAAGTGAGGTACACAGTTGCACATAGAGACAAAAAGGAGAAAGATTTGTTGAACATATCCTCTGTATGTAATTTTTTCCTTCCCCCTTTTCTCACCTTGCGTTCTTCTTTGATGGCTTGTTTCCTTGCCTTTCTCTCCTCTTTGCTCTCGTCCTTTTCTCGGGGCTGTGTGGAGACTCGAGGCAGATCTATGTCGTTGATCCTGGTCATGCGCTCCACCTGCTTGGTGGTCGGACCTCTGGCAGGAAGGACCTCCAGAGGGAATCCCGTCTTCTGGGACACACGGATCGGCTTCAGCTGGAAGAAATAAAAACAGTGGGTTGGTATTATTTAAAGTCAACAATTTAAAAATCCCTTCTTTAAAAAAAAAAAAAAAAGGTTTTATGTCATTTTACTAAGACCCCCAAAATCAAACTTTTTGTTGCACCTTTTTAACTTCACAAATTAGTTTATACAAAGAACAATTTCTAATTTCACATATTTTCATTGTTAATTTAAATTATTTAAGCAGCTTTTAAAAAAACGCTCTTTGTATAGAGCTTTAAATATTCTCAAACTCTGCCTTGATTTTATATCCATTTTGTGTTCAAAAACAACATTCAGGTAATGAGCTGTTTGGTTTATGATGTTCACTTCAACATTGAGCCTCAGAGTTTGCTCCTTGTTTTCAAACCTCAGTTTTAGGTTTGAAGAAAGCAGTTCAGTTTCCTTACATGTGAAAATTCTGTTACTTAGACGGATTGATCATTCACTGCCTACATTTGTAGGATGGCGATAAACGATTTTCAGCACGACTTTATGCCGATGTGTGATGCCGATGCTTCATTGTATTTACTGCTTGCAAGTGTTTTCTTCTCCACTTGTTCATTGATACTGTGAACACGTTCAATTAAAAGTGATATAAAGGCAAAGAACTGTCATTATAGGGTTCGACTCTGCTTTGGCCGCCATCTTGGATATATTGTGAATATTACAACCGCATGTCTTTTTAATGCCATGTCCTGCCTGCATGTCCTACCCTCAGCCTGTCCAACAGGGAAAATTCACACTGTGATGGATGTGTGACAACTGCACACGCAGCCAAAAGTAACAAATGGAGTGCCATGGAAGAAATTACCGGTAAAAACAAATATGAAAATATGGCCTTATTAAAAACATTAGTACGCTTTGATAAGGCTCAGGTGTTTTTTTGTACTGATATTAGTAAAGCACAAATAAAAACTACATTTATTCATATATAGGCCTACTTAAAAATCATACTCTCTCCACCTCCTCCCGTCTCACAGAGCGCTTCGATCTAGGCATGTGATTGGTCAGCGGGCGTTTCATTCTACTTACTGGCCTCACATACTTTGTGTGTTCATATAAATCAGATCAGATAGCAAAACTAAAACAGGAGGTGTTTTTCTTACCTTTTGGGGCTCCGCAATGACCTTGGGTCTGTTGTATATGTTGGAATATGTACCTGGAGAAGACAACAAACACTAGAAATAAGAAAAAACTGAGAACAGAAATATATATTTTGACATTTTCTCAAAGCTTAAAATAAACTAATTCTGTATTTTTGTTTTATTTTCTTATAATCTAAGCCAGGGTGTTACAATGATTAAGGATTCTGTATCACACAATGACTCTTAAACATACAATATTGTTTAGAATGCTGAGTCAAAAAAAGTAAACCTACTTTCATATCTTAATGTTTAAATTTCAAAGTGAAGGCAGTTTCTGAACCGTCAGAAATGAGGCTGCATGACACAAACTACATTTATCTCTATTCAAAATGATTTCAGACTTTGATTTGTATTTTATTATTCACTGAATGAGTCAACCAGTGACCCAATAAGTTTCATGGACACACCCATAAGATTTCAACTATTGATAAAAAAAAAACCCTAACTGTTAACTAGGCTAAAAAACGACATCTGGTTAAGCAACCACCTCTCCTTCTCATGTACAGTGAAACCTGCTTCACTCTCACTGACCCTTCAAATAAATATGAATTGACTGACAAATTACAGTGTGACTAACCCCTTAACTTTCTGCCTTGGTGAACCCTATTTGCAGCTGCAACACGTTTTATCTTGTTTTGTATTTGTTCATTGACAATATAAATGTATCTATACTACTTCCTGCAAAGTGATAAGACCCACAGCAGGTCAAACTTTAATCACTCAGTCTCACACCATAATCAAAGACGGTTACAGGAATAATAATTAAATAATATTGTATCATGCTGTGCTCACCGCCCCCCAGCCATGCGAGTTAGAGAGTGAGAGAGAGAGAGAGAGAAAACAAATACATATGGACTCCGCAGACTGCCCTCTCCGTCTGCCTTGCATTCCCCAGGGGCGTGGTCAGTCACAGCTGATTTGCATGTCAAGCTATAGACACAGAAACAGCCTGTTCCTGGGGCTGATATCGACAGGTTTATAGGCAAATACAGGATCAGAGTTTATTTTTTGGAAAGAAACTTCAAAAGACATGTTTTGGGGACCTCTGGGACTCATTTAAACTAGTTGAAAAGGAGGATAAGATGTGACATTTCACGTGTTAGTTGGGTCTGTTTAGGCTACTGAATCTTTATAAAGAAATTACATTAAAGAGGATTTCCAGGGGTAGAAGTGAGGAAAGTTCAAATAAACTTACTGATGATAGTTTCACAGTCCCACTTTTCTTCTGGAGCCTCCACAACAATAGTCTCCGTCTCTTCCTCCTCCTCCTCCTCATCTTCCTCTTCCTTTAGGGAAGGTAATTCTTTGGGACCCAGGTCATCAGGTCTCAGGTATCTGAACCAAAAAACAAGACATTCAAAATGATTCAGCTCTGTCACGTAAAGGTACATTTAAGGAAGAAAAATCTGTCTGATGCAGCTTTTTTTAAATTTCTTAATCCCGAATAAATCCCTCAAAGATCAAAACAAACTCACTCCTTTTCTTTCTGTATGAAGTAGTCTTTAATAATTTCTTCCAGGCGAGCGCTGTCTGGTTCAATGAATCCTTCCAGCTCTGCGTTATCGAGAGCGCCAATCTCATCGTCGTCAAACTGTTCAAAAAACTGAAAGCATAGACACAAACAAAGAAAAGTGTGTTTGAAACTTTAACACATTTAACATGTAGAGAAACACACAAGTGAGGACAGTCACCACTTAATAAGGAAACCTTTAGTCACCCCCTAGTGGCCAACAAACTGAATATGTAATTTATAAATGTATCGAGGTCAGACACCAGACAATAAAATATCAGCACCTTCAAAATAAAAGCCATGACCATGATCTCAGACAATTTGTTATAACTTTACTCATAAAACATTCTAATATATCTTTTAATTATATCACAGCACTGTGACTATTACTCTTAAATCCTATAACTGTCTTTATTTCAACTTTGGTTTTAAATGTTTTTGTTTTATATTCTCTTGGCTGTTTAATAGTTTGTTTTAACAATATTGTCCCAATATTATGATACCTTGATGAAATTGTGGTGTTAAACTTGTGTTTGGTGTTGGTATGATATGGTTATGATTCATGAATATCATTAACATTTGTTCAAAATCTATCCAACATTAATAGAGTTAAAATCCAAATCTGAGAAGATGGTTGGAAAACAACTGTCACAATTGTATGACATTAGAAACGCACACAAACACACAGCTGACGTAAAAATGTGTTTCAACTGCACAAATACTGTCACAAGTTTATTCAAATATTTATTTGTCATCAGCAACAACCTGTGGCAAATGCCATTAAATAGATAAAGATTCGCTATTTAATAGTTTGCAAAAAACAAATAAACAGGTAAGCAGCAAACATTTCATTCATTTTTATGTTTTAATCGGTTTGTTTTTTCCTGCCCCATGCTTTAATTGTGACCTGGTCTTGTGTCCTCTTTCGTGTCTTTCTTTTTAAACCTCTGTAAGTGATCATCTGGCACCTTTTCACACAATGATGAATGCATTTTTTTCAATGCATTTACAAACAAATACACTTCCATAGTTATTGTGTTTCTGCATGTTTTAATCCCTGCAGATTTCCTATGGTTGTAGCGTTGTTACTAAACAGATGTTCCTTTTACATCTGTTTTGTAATCTGCATGTCTTCATGGATGTCAATCTAGCTGGCTTCGAACATATCTAAAATCAATAACTGTTTCTTCTTTTAAAGGAGTGTGCCTGAACTCAGTAATCCAAAGAGATAAAAATTCACCTTTTCAAAGCGGTCGTCCAGCAGAGTAAGCTGCTCGTTCCTCCTCATCACAGACGACGTCATGGAGTACTCAGTGAATCGACTCTTCGTCTCTTCGTCCATGAACAGAAACTCACGGCCCCGGCCACCCTCCTCCTCGTCACCTGACAAGCCACCTTCAGAGTCAAAATCGCCCTCTTCGTCTGTGTCCTCCCACTCTTCATCATCATCGTCTTCACCTCTGCGACAGGTTACAATCAAAGGGAAATCACAATGAATCCACTGTCAGCTACAGATGTCCAATTCTTACTAGTATGTGTCTGCTGGATGATTATTTATCACAGGGATAAAGAGCATAACTAAGAGACATTATTATAATGCATCATTATCAAAGATGTGTTTAGGAACACCTGAATAAATTAAGAGTTTAAACTAAATCTAAATTAATAGTTAAAATCAAAAATAATGTGTTAATCAATTTTGTGATTCATCTTAATATGTATTGTGTCTGAAAGTATAACTTCAAATATCCTTAATATTTTTTAATCACAAAACAGAGAAATTGTAGCTGCTATTATGAGATATCAGGGCAAATAGCAAACATGTTGGGTCTTGGCTTCTGTTCCATACAACTCTGGAAACAGATGACATTCAGTAAAACCTTTTCCTGAGCTTAAAATGACTACAGAATTAAATGGAGTAATAATCAGCAGTTACAACAGTATATTTAAGGTTAAGCTATTAGTGAGAAGATAATAATCAAAAAATAGTTCTGCAAATTATGAAAACGTTGATGCAGAGATGCAAGGACACTCCGTTTTCAAACATACAAGCACTGAGAAATAAGGTTTTATAACTTACTCCAAGTTGAGCGCTCCACCCGAACTGTTAGCTTTCATGATAAAATCATCGTCAAGGACGTTGTCAGGGTTGTCAAAGTCAAAGTCTTCATCCAGAGCAGCCACGATGTCAGGGTCCATGTCCAGACGCGGCCCTGAAGGAAAACACACAAAACAAAACATTGAGAACGACAAACAGAAGAAAACGTTAAAGCTACTTTAGATAAGAAACAGCAGCAAGAATGTAACACCAGTAACACCAGGAAACCAAAAACATCCAGTTCTTTGAGTAAATCCTAAATGATGCATGTTCATAAAAGGAGATTAAAAACAACTCTATAATGATGAACTTAAAATTCATCAGACAAGGATCTTTATAAAAACCTTTATTCACACTTTCTGACTGTTTACTTGTCTCTTTATGTTGTGGTAACTTTTTACTGTTGTTTTTGTTCTTGTAACCGTGAAATGTATGAAAGCTGCTTTAACAATAAGATGTATTATTATGAAGACTCTTGTCAGCTGGTAGTAAACTGTTATTTGTCTGAATACATTGCTGATTTCAATATTTAGATAACAACTTGCCAAAGTCAGAGTAGTTGTGACTCCTAAAACTATTTTTGTGTAATGAGAGTGTGTGAAAACAAATAATGGCACAATAAAATCAGCAGAAACTATATAAAACTGAGTTTAAATCATTTAGTCTGTATACATCATTTAAAAATATTTTTATTCAGAATTGTCTTTTCTGTGTATGTCTATCTACATTCTGTACATATTGATAATAAAGAAAGAGAGGAGATATTCAAATGAAAAAAGAACGATGTCATATGTTTCACATCATGTTTCTGTTGTCATTCATTTGTCTTACATAATTAGTCAATCAAAGGTTAACATATTGAGTTAAATACATTTACTTATTGATGAAAAAAATTCTGTTAGAACCGGATCTGGTTTGCAGGGTGTAGCCTGTAAACTTTTTACCTCATTTCATGGTTGCTTTATCTAAAACCCTTTTCACACATACAGAAATCTCCTGAAAAACTCTGGAGATTAGTCTACCCGGAGGTTCTTTAGGTTATATGTGAACGCAAACAGCCGCATTTTTCGTGCGGTCTTTACCCAGAGTTTCTCCGGCCAGACCCCGAGTATTTTTTTCCACAGAAAGTCCGAGTGAGCTGATGTCTGAACGTGGCAGCATATACTCCGGAGATTTCAACTCAAGCCAATAGAAAGAGAATGTTGTTTATATATAGTGACTGTTTAAAGTGTCTGCACGCTACCTCTACGATCTCCGTGCTCTAATTAAACGTCTGCATTCTGTTTTCTGTTGGTCAGTATGTTGTTCTCCTCTCTTTTGTGGAGGTTGTCATTCCATTGGATTACACATAGCATTGATATAAAGACAAATATTCTCATTATAACGTTGTGTAGCGGACTCTGTTGTTATTTACGTCACATCTTACCTCAGGAAATCCCCCGATCCCCCTTCCCCTCTGACAGGGAAAGTCCCCCGCTGTGAGGAGCATATGTGAACGGCTAGGTCAGGAGAATCTCCGGAGAACTCCTCCTGTAATTATCTAGATATTATCCGGAGTGCATATGTGAAAACGGCTCAAGAGATGGTATTCAAACTGTTCTAAAATTTCAACTGCACAAAGTTAAAAAGTGTTGTTGCAGTTCCTCCTGAACCTACCAAGTCATTAGGAATTCCCATTTTGGTATCTAGACTGCTTTTATTGCAATGTTTTTATTCGGTTTTTATATTTTGTTGTGTTGTCTGATTTTTTAAATTCCTTTTTGTTTATGTTTTACGGTGATGTTGTCCTTGTGTTTCTTGTCTTCTGTGTGCTCCTGCTGCAACGCAAAGATGTCTGTACCGGGAATATTTACCCTAGAAATTGGCTTCAGGACTTTCTACCAGACAACCTTGCATTAAAACATCTCACACTTCTCGTAGGGAATCTACCAAAGTTACATAGAGAAAGGGAAAAAAGGCTCTTTTGTCACTAATAAAAGTAACTGTAACAACATTTTAACATTTAAGATGACGGACGAGCTTCTTACCTGAGATCGGAGCAGCTTTGTTCAGAAGCCCAACTTCCTCTTCAAACTCCGAGGCGAACACAGAGGATGGCAGGTTGATGGAGGATGTCTGTTTATCAAACATAACAGATTGATTTTCAGCAGTCCTGTGTTCACTTTGTGATTTGTGTTCATTGTGTTAATATAACAAGAGAGACATCTAGGAACCAGTTACAAAAAAAAAAAACTTTAATTATAATGAAAAATGTCTTAACCTTCAACATGTTAGTTATCTGTGATCATTTTAAAAGAATGTATTGACACTTAAAGTAAAAAAAAGCAACAACTTAGACTAAGAAACAGATTAAATAAATTATTTTTGAATAAAAATGTTGACAGATGTAAATCCAGGTTAAATAAAGGTTCAATAGCAGTTTAAACCAAATCTCCTTAGTTATAGGAAGGAAACGGAAACAACTCTGAGCATTGACTGTTTCCTCTAATAATCTCCATTTTGCTGTCTTATTTAGTCTCTTTTTTAATATCAAAATCATAATGTCTATATTTGTACAGTATCACTATTTCTGTATTTCTTTAAGTTTAATACCTCTGTTTTAATCCTAAAAGTTTAGCCAGAGACAGAGGTTGCATATTAGCCCTGGCTAGAAACCTGCTACTTTGTGTTCTACATATGAAGCAATGGCCATTGCACGTGTCCCTGTTAAATACATTGAAAATGAAGTGAATTTCAGAAAACACAACATTAGGATCTGATATGCAAGAACTTTTCTAAAATCTAAAATAAATGTAGTTTGTAAACACCTTTTAGTTCTCAGAAACTTTCTTTTAAATGAGTACTTTGCCAGGATTTCAACAACTGAAGGATAACTCTGGAGTGAACTTACAGGGAGGGCATTGTCTGTGTCCTTCTCATCCTCCTCCTCTTCCTCTTCAAGGACATTCATTTGTGAGGGTCCAGCCGCCACCCATTCAGAAGTGGCCGACGGCTCCTTCAGGTGCTGCAGGTAATCGTAGTCATCGTCGAAGAAAACGCCAAACTCCCTCTGCTCCTCCTGTCTCTTCTCTGTATCCACCTGAGAGACACCAAAAGTACAATCATGGTATTATTGAAGACATCACATTTTAAAAATCAGATTGTCCAATATTTGGGCTGACACTGTATTACAATGACCGACTGGGATGGGCTGTCACTAGAGTAAGGGCTTCTGCTGTTAAGATAAAGGAACATACATTTCTATTGAACAGAATCTGTACCTTGGCTGCTGGAAGGAGGACATGCTGTGGGGCTTTCTCATCTGCTGCAAGGGGGTCCCTCTGACTTCTGTGGACGAGGTGAAATGTCACAGCCTTCTTCTTTTCTATGAACGATTTCTTCTTCCGATGAGGCTTAAAGAGACAAACACAGCATTGAAACCATTGGTTAACTTATTAGGAACATCCTGTTACAAGATTGATGCATGGGTAAGTATTTGTCCCCAAATTGTCAGCAGGTGAACCATTCACCAGGATGTCAAAAAAAAAAAATCAGACTTCTATAAAGACAGCAAAAACTGAAATCATAGAAAGCACTTTGTCGAATTTGAAGATAAAAATAAATCACTCACCTGACAAGTTCAGATTGACATCTTATTTGAAAATATTACAAACAAACAAAAAGGTCTGAATAAATTGTAATTAATAGAAATAGCTGGCAATGCATCAAGCAAAATGAACTCGCCAATTGACTTGAAATGACAACATAACTTATTTCAAGAACTGTCCCTTGCTTACAATATAATTAAATCAGATGTTAAGTATATTGAAAATAATGAGATATTTTTAGACTAGAGATTACATGAATTGGGAAAATTAGAGTTCTTTTGTGAAATTGTAAGTGCTGAGATGTAAACAGCTGAGCTAGCTACAAGAACATAGGAAGAAACATTTAGTATTTTCGATTACGCTTAAAACTTTCTCAATATAATAATGTAACTTCAAATAGAAACGACATGAAATGAATTGTTGGTTTTCAGTAAATGTTGTTGATGGACTCCCGGTGCTGACGTCAGGTCACGTAGCTAACAAGGTTAGCGTGAATTAAAACAGTAAGCTTACCATTTTGAAACTAAATGTTTTGTTTTCTTCAACGTGTCCGGTTTAAAATCGTAAGAACTCAAACTTCAGGCGGCTGTTAAGAAACAGTAACCACTTAAAAACAGAAAAAAAGTCGCTGTTGTTGTTTTTCCACGCCGAGCTTTACTTCACCATGCTGCTGCTGCCATTACCGGAAAGAACCACTTCGACAAACAACCGGGGGGAAAAAATTAATAAATATAAATAACATATTTAAACTTCAAGAACAAAGGTAGTTGATTTCTATTATTGTAACAAAACTATGCGATTGTATGAGAACAATTGTAATGCACGTCGTCGCAATAATATGGTAATTTATGGTACTTTAGACTGTGATTGTCCGCCCTCCACATCGTGAAATCTTGGTACAGTCTATGTTAAAGTTCTTACTCTTTTCATGCACTGACGGCTGGTCAACTCGTTCATATGCGCATTACTGCCCCCTGCTGGAGCCCCATGATAACCCCAAAATTACCCACTACTGAAATATGAACTGGCACGATAAGGGTCTTAACATGTGCGCTTTTATTGTTACCAAAACCAAAACCAAAACATGCCTAAGTAGTTTTAGAGCAGTTTATACTTTCCGCATGTTCAAAGTTAAATCTCTATTGTGTCAAATTAGAATATGTTCGACAAATCCAAAGAATGTTGGGTGTTGTTCCTGTAGAAGAACTGATTGTTTACTCGATCAAGACACACAGGTGTTCTTTAGACTCATTGTTATACCCTTGCTTTCTCTTGCAGTGAATCAAGATTCCTTATCTGATTAACATCTTACCCTGTTTCTTGGAAGCCTTCTAATCTATGTTGTTTTTCATAGCTGTTGCTGCATGCTTTCTGAATGATATAGTTGAGATTCACTTCTCAACTTTGGCTCAGCAGGTCTGTGTGCAAGTGAGTGTGCCTGTACCATAGACTGTAAATATTGGCCTGTACCAAATATTCCTGCCATGTGATGATCTTTTAACTGTTGTTTAATTGTATATGCTCTTAATTTCTGTAAAGCACTTTGGTACAAACCCAGTCTATTTTTAAATAAAGTGGACTTTGAGATTATTCATTTGTGGTGTCAAAAATCTACAAGGAGCCAAGGATAAAGTCATTAATAACACCTCTAACCCTAAACCTACAAAAAATAGAATGTGAAACATCCATGTGTAATAATCTCAGTTTAAGATTACATACACGTTTTTTACGATCTAATGCAGTGTACCCTTTGTTTTCTAGAAAAAAATATTTCCTATATTTTGCAAATAAAATTGTATTTGTTCTTGGTGCTCGTCTTCAGCCCCTTCAGCCTTACATCCATTATCATTATAAATATGAAAAATGACTCTTAGAGCTGCTCAACTTAAACCTCAATAATTAACATAATCAGCCCTTCCTGTTTCATCATCATTATTCCCTTTAATAAATAATATTAAAAAGAGTAAGGACTTCTATCAACAGAGTTGCTCCTCTGTCTTTTATATTTTATGAAGCTGGCTCTATGTGTAACGCACACGCTCCAGTGTACCTGTACTGCTCTGTACCTGCGTTAAATGTCAACAAACACCTTTTCTATACTTCTTTCCATGGCAGCCAGATGTCTACTTTCATGACATGATATTCCACCCACCCACACACTGGTGTTTTTCCATTTCGCACTTCAAACAGTGCTGATTGTGAAATGTCCGAGATCCAGTTTTTCCAGTTTAATCAACATTCCTTGTTTGTTATTTTTTTAAATACCTCTACCAACCTACAACCTATAACCTTCAATAAAAATACCAACTATTTACAACCTACACAATTGATACTCTGTCGCTGCTGCATCACAACTGTTTCATTGTTATGTTGTTGAGACTTATCTGCTTCCTCATAAGATACCCAACACAAGCAGATGAATGCATTACCATGCAACAGTCTTTGAATGTTACTGTGTCCATACACTCTTTTACATAAGAACTTAGTATATTTGTTTTGTACATTTACATTTTCTGCTTTATTAGATAACCTGTTGTTAACCACAAATCAGAGATACATTATGGGGGAAGAAGAACCACCTGCTTGGGTGCACCAGCTTTTGACCCAGATTAACAACATTAAAGAAGCATTTGACTCTAGCTTTCATGTATTCAATGATTCTATTTAAAGTCTGAAAGTTACACAAGCTGTGTTAAACAGGCTGAGTAATGCTGAGAAAGATGTACATTATTTTAAAACTAAGATGATGCTCTTGGAGTCTCTGTGCAGAGAAATATGTTCTTCTTTACTGTACTTCCCTTAATGTTTGTAATCACTTTGCATATTCAGATGAACGCAAAATATAGATCATCTAATAAATTAAGATAATCTGTCATAGATTGAGCCACATAAAAGTACAGTAGGCTCACATTTAGTTGCAACATTTAAATAAAGGTAATGATCATAAAATGCACGCTGTTCTGAAATGGGTCTGTATGCATTATCAGTCTTTTTGATTTTTGTTCTTTAAGTTCTATTGTGCTATTTCTTTGTTACTTTTACTTGTAAAAACCTGGGTGCTAGACTTCTATTTCTGCACTGTTAAATTGGTACACTAGCTCCAGAAAAGGACTTGAGTTCTTCATTACTGTCATGCAAAGATTGTTTCTATTATATAAAAGATTCAGCACCTCTGTATTTCTCAACTCCAAACATGAACAAACGCACAAGTTAACAGCAAATGATACAAGGTGTAATGCATTTTACTGTCTAAGTGGCTGGCTAACTTATTGTCTATTAAATCCTGAACTGTCAACATGTCTGAATCTTGAATTCATCACAAATGTGAATAGATATCAGCAAAACCAACAACATTTCCAAAATAAAAAAACAAAGCCAGAGGTTTTATTCAAAATGTATTTTCATTTATGCAGAAAGCAGAGAAAATAAAACAATCCTTTGTCCTAAAGCTTTAGTCAATACATTTTAACATTTGATTCCTCAGTTCCAACACTGCAGCACATAAAATATCTCACATCATTTTGCTTTAAAAAGAAAAAAGATAAAAAAGAAGACAGGTGTTGAGAATGTGTTGCATGAAAAAGAAACTCCAAATTGCACCATTACTGCCTGTGTTTGATTTGTTCTTCTGGTGGCGTCTGTTCGCTCCCAGCTTCTCCTCAGACGTTCATCGACAACATCAGGAACTGAGAAGAAGAAAAAAAGGAAAAGAGAGTTCATAGTTAGATCGAAATAAACTAGCAAAACGTTGCAAGTGAAATAAAGACAATCAAATAACCAGGATGAAGTCCCCCATCTGTTTAAGCATGGGCAGGAAAATAAACACTTGAGAGGAATTTTGCAGAGATTAAAGGATGTGATGTCCCATGATGAATGTTGTTTTACCTGCATCATGTTCATCTTCACACGCCCCCTCTTGTGCTCATCCATCGCCTGGAAAACTCCTGGTTCATAAAAAGACATCGTTTAAGCACAGAGTGGTGAGAACTTTCATCCTTTAAAATTAAATCTCTACAATGACTTTTGATTATTTCATTTTTAGATATGAATGTAGAGTCATTATGATATTAGTAGAGGATTATAATGTCGTCTTTTTCACATACTGAACATGTTCTCCAGACGGACTATGCAGGTGAGGTAGTCGTCGAAGTCAATGTCGTAGTTGGTGTCAGCGAACCTCAGGGCGACCAGCTGTAGGAGCTGGTTGTTCAGCTGCATGCCTATGTGAGAACAAAGCAGTAATGTTAGCCCTTAAATCCAATCACACAAGATACACAAATAAAACAGTGAATCATCCAAGACGTTTTTTCTGTCTATTAATAAAAGTCAGACAAGTAATATCAAGTATTAAAATGATATTAAACTAGTAAGGGTTTTAATAGTTCTGCACAAAGTTGAAAAAGCATTCAGTCGTCTCTCACCTGCAGCTTTGAGAGCGCTACGAAGCTCGTAGGACGACATTTTTCCTGAGCGATCAGTGTCAAAAGAGAGGAAGAGCATCTGCAACAACACGAGTTCACAGAGTGAGTTAAATAACCAGATTACTGTCAAACCTTTCCAGCTCCAAACTGACGATTTACAGCAGCATTTACACAAGTAATGCTTTAAAGTCCAAATATGAGCTACTTCTGCTTTACTTGAGTATTTCCACACAAGGGTTTTATACTTTAAATCACCTACATTCATTTTGATTTCTTCAGTTACCTAAATTAATCATAATTATCACCAGTCAGTAGTTATTAAAGTTACATATAGAAAATATTTTCCAAAATATGTTTGAAATGTGCTCCCTGATAGAATTACACATTTATCCATAAAAAATCATAATATGGTGAAAATACTTCTCATGCAGGTCTTGTGGGAATATTTCTTTTTCTTGGTTCAAAAATTCTGAGCACTTTCTTGAGTGACAGTTTAAGGCATGAATCAACACTTACAATCCACTTCTTCATCTTTTCCCAGAAGACTTTAAACTCCTGAAACTCCAGCATCCCTGTGTTGTCCACCTTGTTCTCTGTCAAGGAAAACAACCCCCTCCCTCTCATCTTCATCCAACTTTTTCATGTTTTAACGCTTAAGAAAAAAGAGTATTAACTAAAGCAAAGAGTGCTTAATGGATGCAGCAGCATTCATACTGTTTCTTTAGTAGGTTTTAGCAAAACAAGTCAAGTCAAATGAGGTTTACTAGTACACTTTGTTTTCACCAGTAGGTCATGTGTAAGGATACATCCATCAGGTTGATAATACTGTTGCAAGTGCTGAGACTCAGGCCATCAAATTTGATCTCTTTTCCTGAGAAAAAGACACAGAATAACATTTACAGAACAGTATTTTAAAAAACAACATGTTTCAGCTCATTAGCAGTAGTTGTGTCAAACATAGGATCTGTTTTTCTGGATTGGACTGCAGAACATTTCAAGTGTCCAAGTTTTGATATCTTAAGGAAACTGGGTAGATCATTTTAATATTGATATTGATTCTTATGTGATCTGTGAAGTTATGAAACAGAGCATAATGATAGCTGTGGCGTGTAACAGCATGAACATTTAACATGAATGGACAGTTGATGGAGCCTTGTGGAGCACATTCAATTGAACAGTTTGTGACAGAAAGTCTGTAATAAAGAAAGGTTTTACTCAAACTTAATCAGAAATAAAAAGTTAGAAAAAAAGAAAAAAAGAGATACTATCTATTTAAATCTTGAGCGACTTACGTCTGCTGAGAACACCGTTCAACATCTGCTGTAGCTCATAGACGGAGATGGCCTGGTCCTGCAGATAAGACAGGATTCAAGAGAAGACTTCAGACACATAATTACCACAACACCTACTGACCAGGGAAAGATGTTTGTTTACAATCTAATTGGGTATGACTGACTGTGGCTTGATAGCACATTATGACTGGTGTGTAGAAGTATACTGTTTACCTTGTTCACTATATGAGTTTAGTGAGCTGGCATTTACGCATTTGCTCATTAGCACTTAACCCAGTACAGTACAGTTAGTGCTGATATCAATGTTTTGTTTTGTGAAAATCCCTGATCAGAGCACTAAAGAAAAAGTGCGCTGTAATCAGGATTCCTCTTCTGCTTCAAAACACATTTATATATGTGTTTTGTTGTTTGTTTTAAAGCTGAATTTAACTGACTCTAAAAAGCCTTTCTTCTTTTTCAAGTTGCTATTATCTCAATGATATGTCCTTGTCTGTTTCCTCCTCTGTCTTTTCAAGCTGCTGTTTAGCTTTTGAAACTGAAGCTTCGTGATTAAATAAGACGATTGAAACTATAAAAATGATCTGGTAAACAAGTGAATAGTCAAGTGAAAACATTTAGAGGAAAAACAACAGAGAGAGAGATCATTGAACAAACAAAGGGATCAGCAGTTAGTTTAGACATTTAGGATTTAAAATGATTTGTTGTTCTATAGGACCACATTTCATTCACAACCAAAAAAAGCGTGAAAAGCCCCTGAAACTGCATTAAGAGGAAAAAGGGATGTAAATATTTTCATTAAGCCCAAATACAATGAGCTTTGATGCATGATAAAAAAGAGGAATAAATATATGAGATGCCAAAATATCTTCTAAGACTCTTTCTAAAAACAGAAACTGCCAGTGGAACAAAGTGCACAAAGGTTTTAATTGCATCTTGACCATATCGTTACTCCCATCTGTAAAATAGGCAGCTCTCTAGTATAAGTACAATCAAAGGTTTCTTATAGGAATCTGTTGTTCCCTGGTCACTCATACAAAACTGGTAACAGATGGAAATACTGCAACAATAAAAATAAAAAGCAACAACTAATGAATGATTTCCTATCATACTAATTATAGTTCGGGTGCTACCAGAAACAAAGTGGCAGCTTCCGGTAGCTACCAGGATGTGCCTCTAATAGCTACCTCTACCAAAATAAACCTCCTAAAAACAGGTAACCTGAATCTGGCTCCAAATGACATCACCAGCGCCTGTTGCAGGAGTATATTTAACTTTCAATTTTGTATAACTGGAGGAGATGGAGATGCATTGTCTGTCTTTTTATGCAGTTATTCAATGATTAAACCTCCAAAATCTTCACAAATGCTACATGTTGCCTGTCACTGCTGATCTGAGTTTCTGTGTTCTTACGTCTCCAGCGAGTTGTTCAAACAGTCTCCTCAGACCTTTCTCCTCGTCCGTTTCCTCCTCTGGAGAACTGGGCATAGGCGGCTAGTGGGAACAGCAGCGCATCAGTACAAACAGGCGGCAGTGATTAATTCACTGAATGCATGAATGTTAATCATTTAGTGGGAAATCTACTTACATCTGGCAGGTCAGCATCAACATTGCTCCCCATCTCACTGTAGAACAGGACCACACAAAGACAATTTCAGATATTGAACATCTTTGTTGTTCATTTCAAACAACTATTTTGGTAGTTCCCAGGATTTAATTCATGTCCAACATTAAGAATTTAGGAAAACAACGGACATACAAATTCTCATTAAACCCAAAATTACATTTTGTTATGGCTGCTTTGACTGTGAGCATAATTTATAAAATAAGGAAAATATTTTATGAGCAAAGTTGCGAGAGCTGCTTTCATCTATATATTTTAAATATTCAGTTTAAAGTCTTTTAATTAGCATGTTCTTATATCTATTTTGGGGCTTTTTTGGGGGGCCTGCTTGGGGTCTACAGCCACCCCCTTGTGGCCAGGAAGTGCTGCTTGTCAACAGGCAACTGCTTGGGGCCCATAGCCAGTATAGGGCCATTCTCCCTGGGGTTTTGGATAACATTGACAATGTGTTCTCTGTTTGAACTTTCCAAAGTTAACCCAGCGTTTAACACTCACAGAGCGCCGGCTTTCTTCTCAGAGAAGATCCTGATGAGGAAGTCGGCCTCGTGGTGTGGCTGGAAGGTGGTGGGCACCAGCACATAATCCCCAGGAGGCAGTGTGAAGCGCTCTGAAACCTCCCGCATGTTGATGTAGGTCCTGCTGCGAGCCTTAGATGCGTGGTAACGGAAGAAATCTTTCCCCAGTTGGTCTTCATCTTCTGGCGCCTAAATGGAAAGGAGATTGATTTATCCCTCTATATCTGGACAGAATGACTTTTACATAATTAGCAAGAAAATATGATTAGGAAAGCAAAGAAGCTTGACTGTGGCACCCGAATGGGGCATGAAGGTTTTTTCATTATTTAACTTAACAAAATAGTGCAACTAAGGTCCATTTTTTAATTACCCGAAAGTTTTGGATATTTTCAAATCAGCTTCAATGATGGATTTTGATCCCATAGATGACCATCATTCAGTAAAACATGAAGTGAGCTCCAAAGCTCCCGAACAACTACCCAATGACCTCACACAGAAAAGCTGTTTTGGAAAATGTTTTGTTTCTTTCTGACCTCGTATACCGCAAAGCCGATGGTCTCCATGTCCATGCCTTCCTTCCTCAGCTTTCTCCTGTTTTTCTGCATCAGAGCAATCACCACGCTGCAGACGTCATCCTCGTCATCAGCGTCCTGCAACCTCAGCTTGAACTGCGGGTTCGTCCAAAATGTGTCTGTAGGTCGAAAATGTAGAACCTTAGAGAGCAGAGCAGATACCACCAACTCAAATAAAGTCTTATTCTTAGTTCTGCTTTACTTACCGACAAAGTTCCTGCAGCCTCCAGCGGTGGAGCCACGGATCCAGTTCCCTTGGAACATGTTGACCTCCCAGTGGCGTTTTGTGTCGTCGGTTAGAGCGTCAGGGGTCATGTTGCAGATTTCCACTTTGTCGTAATTCCTCTTGAAGTCCTCAAACTCCATCCTGGAGTAAAAAAACACAGTCTGTTATCTGAAAATACAGGTAATACACAGCAATATTGACGATATTGACAACCATATTAACAATATTAAATTCAACATGCCCCAGCAGAACATTTTTGGAACCTTTTGCTTTACAGTTTAGACCCTTTGCACACATATTCAGTCACATTCATCATTTGGACTCACCAGAATTCTCCATCCTCTGTTGAATTGGAAAGAATGCGAGATTTTTCTGATTTGTCAATGTAATCCCATTCTCCAGATCTGGAACAGGAGAGATAAAAGGAAGGATTAGATTGAAAATAATACATTTGTTCTGCACTTTTGTCAAATTGTTTTAAAATGTTTGATTATTCTAAATTTCAGAAGTGATTTCACACATTTCTATTGATTCTGTACAAAACAAGAAATTAATTATAAATAAAACTTGTTACTGTAGGTGTTGATTTTTGTGTTTATTTGATGAATTATTTCAATAAAAACTAGGAAACACTCTCATCTGCCTTTTTGATTGAAACAAAAAATATATCCTATTATTGTTATTATTTTTGCTAAATAACCACAGATGCACAAAATAAAATAATTGGTGCAGTTAAGACATTTGTCATTTTTGTGGATTCTGGTGATCCCTAAAAAGTAATCTCATCTTGCTTGATTCGACATGTCTATCATGCCAATCCCAATTAATCTCTGGTGTGATAAACTTCAAAAAGACTGTTTTGGCAGTGTGCCGTTAATCATCTTGTCAGACACCCACAGTGTACCCCAATGGCAGAAGAAAAAAAGACAAACAAATGTAACAATAAATGTAAAAAAAATAATCCATCTTTTCCTGATGGTCTTTGGTTTTGTAGTTCATATTGAGACATGTATATGAAATACAATCTGCTTCATTACCAATTAAAAAGTCCTCACAGAAGAGACTGATAAGCCATAAGTGGGTGTACTTTAAATATGTCCTTTGAATGTTTAATGTATGATGAAAGTCAATGAAAACTCTTAATGCTTACTTGTCACTCCAAGGGCCGTTCCACTCGACCTGACCCCAGGGGTTTCTGACCCGAATTAACTTGACCTTCCGCCCCCTGTAATTTACCTGAAAACCAGATACAAAATTTACACACTTAGACATTGGTTGGGGATTTGTGGATGGGATGTGCTGTTAAAATGATGCTTTACATGTATTGTATTTAAAAGGGTCATCTCTCCTCTATGTTTTAAAATTTGTGCTGCTAATATTTACTTTGAACAAACAACTCTGGGAAAATGGGGAATCCCCTTCAAGGAGGCTTCACTTAACTACAATACTGCTCTTAGCTAAATGCTGATATCACCTAGGCTTTGGTTGTGACTTTGCTTCCAGTAGGACGTGAGCCTTACCTCTTCCAGGCCTGTGATGGAGTATGCATGTCCCTTCACCAGGCCGGTGGTAGTTTTGGCCTCGGACTCTGCAGAGCTGGAGATCTGGAGAAATCAAAAATACATCGAGAGTCTTATAGCATTTTTGTTAACCTCTGATTTGAAGGCTGCACATTATATGAAATGGGGTTTAGGTCTTTACATCAATAGAGCATCCCATCATGGAGCCTCTGTCCAGGGCTTTCTTCATGGTTGCGAACAGGGTGTCTGGAGCTGTCTTGGTTTCGTATATTTCACCCACACCGCCGGTGAAGTCTTCCATGGCCTCCATTGTGCTGCCTCCTTTCAGGGACTCGTAGCTGCCGTGCAGTCTGAAATAATTGTGAATAACACATCATAGTGTTGTTTTATGTTTAATCTTGTAAAATGGAGATCTTGCCTTTGAGTTTCCTATGTAGCCTGATCCTGTAGGGGACCTTACTTTCTCCTAGCATCAATATCATAACAAAACATCAACATATTGATGTATCTGACCGGATGGATTTTCATTAGTTACAGCATTGAAAATGTAATCTGTACAATGCTATATACAGTTTTGATGACAGGGGGAATCTTGAGATCTTGCTGTCTGAACGTGGCCAATCATTAATCAACCAGCAGCAGCTGTTAGTGTAGCTAAATAGTAAATCTCATGATATTTACAAAGTTTGTGCCCTCTAGAGAAGGGGTGTCAAACTTTTCAGCTTGCAACGCCTAAATTGCACGAACAGGTCTATCCAAACACGTTTAACACAAAAGAAAACAACAGACTAAAAACCATAAAAATATTTTCTATAGTAATTTATTGTAATAAATCAATATCGATATATCGATATAAGTATTTTATGTTAATCATCTTTAAGTCTGTGGATTTAACATAAAGTGATTTACTTGGCGTAGGCTTTTTCCAGAAGGGCGCTCCAGAACTCATCGTTGGAGGCAGAGTGAAGCATGATGAGATTATCTCTCACGGAGGGCAGCCTGTCGTCCACCACGATGTCCAGCCATTGGTTGTGCTGCCAGAACTACAACAGAGAGAATATCATTAGAAAGCAGTTTCATTTCTTGTGTTGGCATTTTTTAACTGAGTATTTTGTGAAGTTATCTGCAATTATAAAGCCCTTTGGGGGGGATATTTGATGCAAAAAGCACTTTTAGAAGAATAGTGTCTGCAATAAATCATATAGCACAAAGTAACAGTACAGCTAGCCTAGAAAAATGTAGACAGGCCGATCATACAATTCTGAATGTAGAAGGGTTAGCTTTAAATAATGCTTGACTTAAAGACTATAAAACTGGTTTCAGCAAAACATTCATTCAAACCCTTGTTTACTGTAATTGTATTAAACTAAATGAACTGGACTGTATTTCAACCTTATCAATAATTAAGTATGTAATATTAATATGTTAATATTTAAAAGAACAAAAACAAAATAAAACAAGA